CACCATCCCACGCGAGGGTGGTCCCGCGGCAGTCCTTGCTCCAGCACACTGCTTCTGTCGGGCTCCCTGGAGCCCCCCAGTTGGTTTTGCGGTCCGTCGACGATACCGTCCTGGGGGTCGTTGTGCCGGATGGCCCGTTCCCCGAACGTCCGATTGCGACGTTCCCCTGATGGAATTCAGAGGGGTCCTAGCACCGTAAAGTGGGTTGTGATGTGGCATTCTCGCCGAAGAGATATGCCTCCGATCCATCCTCTTCGGCCGCAGGCATAGCCGCGGGATGGTTGGCCGCGGTGACGAGTGCGTGCTGCTGTGCGGGCGCTGGTGTGCACGCGCTCCCTGAGACATCATTTGCAAAGTTGGCTCGCAGTGGGGCTCCGTCCGGACCCACAAGGAGGCCCCCTTGAAACTCGAACAGCGTGTCGATGTGGTGCGGCAACCCCGACCGCTCAATAGACCGCGACGTGTTTTCCCGCACGACAGCACCAACCCTTGATAGCACCTGCGAGTCGAGGGTCAGCTTTGTTCTTCTGGGCCTGGACAGTTCCAGCCTCACTGCAGCAAGTGACTGGGGCACCGCGGTGAAAACCAGTTGCCCAGTGCAACGCTATTCGTTTGCGGCCGCACGCTCGCTTTGCAGTTCTCGTACCGCACTCTCCAGCCGCTCTGCCGTTTGGAAACTTGTTTTCTTGGCCCAAGCCATATTTCGGTTAGTGGCCACCACCACCGCCTGCAGTCCAACATGATTCGCTTTGACGAGCGCCAATCTTCGCTGCAAATTAGCCCGCTCCGCCTCAAGCAGCCCTAACTGCCTCTGGAGACCAGCGTCCTCCCGCGGGCGTGCGACCAACACACCCATCCCGTTGCACCTGAAACTCGTGGACGCCCTCGCACCGCCCTGCTGACGTGATCCTGATCCGTGTGGCATATCGCGGTGGGGTCCACACCCGGGGTTCCCCCCCATTGCCGTGGCCCTATCGGCCGCACACCCGTCCCCCCCCCCCCCCCCCCCCCCCAGGAAACCCACTCTCCCATCGGGCGCGCCGATTCCCGGCTGGCCTGCTTGTGGTCCTGGAGCTGTGACTTCTCCTGGATGTTCCGGGTCCACAGTGCCCGTCTCCCCCGCTGGACACACCAGAGGCTTGGGCGGCACTCCGTCGGTATCATGTACACCCCACAGCTCCCCGTGCGGCTCCCCCATTCTGACGGTCACCCGCTGCTGGCTCGCCGGCTCACCGGCGACACCCCGGTGCATATCTCCACTGCCGATGCCATTCTCCTAACCGGTTTCCGCCCTCTTCCTTCGCTCAATCTCGTCGTTGCATTCCGGAGTTCTCTTGAGCTTAGCAGAGGGCTGCATCGCGCCTTCCTTAGTCACGGGCGGGCTTGTCCTGGCCTCCCCCGACTGTGCTGCCACACACGCACACGCCTCCTCTGCCGCATGTACTGTCAGGCTCGCGTCTGGGGGCTCGGCCGAATGGACGCGTGGCGATGATTTTTCTCGGCCTCCGGCTCCTACGAACACGTCCCCTGTATAGGTGGTAATGGCTCCTTGGATCGCCATCGCAACGCCCGGCTCCGCGCCCATCAGTCTGTTCCCCATGGATCTCGAATCGACGACGCGCAGACTCAGCTGCGCGGCCTCACGCGCCTGCGCCCGCAGGCCATCACGCGAGAGCGGGGTTTCGATGAGAAGCTCACGATCCGCATGCGGGCGCACCTCCGCCACACCCGACAAACCCGGGAGTGGGCTCGCCGTGGTACTCCACTGTTCCCCCCCGTCCCGTCGTCGCGCTCGCAATATCCCCCGCCTGCGCTGGCAGCGCAAGAGTCGCGTCGAATACGGGTTTTCCGATAGCTCCTGCCGCATCCGCCTTAGACCGCTCAGAGACCATTCCTGTCGTCTCATCTGCACCGCCCTCCACGCGCCTTCTCTGCTGCAGTTCATCCTCCGCGCCTAACGAATAAGATGGTTGCGGTTCAGTCTCCCCTCCCCCTCCCCCCCCCCCCGTGTGCCGCGGGCCGAGCCGCGTGGAACGCGGCATCCAGCCCTCGCCGGATGGTCCGGCTGGGCAGCTGTCCCGCCTCATCGTGGTCCGTGCATTCTGCTGACCCTGCGGCTGTGTGATTTTCCGCGCACGGCTGCTCGTTTGCCTCTTCGGGTTCATCACCGGACGTGGACTCGATGGTACCCGCAGCACTGAGATCAAGACCTTGCTGCCCTTGGGACAGCGTGTCCGCCCATTTCCGCGCCGCCCGAGCCATGTACCTGCACGGGCCACTGACGTCGTCAACGGATGTCAATGATAACAACCCCCGAATCCACCTGACGGCGTAAGGCCCTGCATGACCCATTCGAAGGCGTAGTCGATAAGCACACCCCCGACGCTACACGATTTGCCAAGCGGCGTGCGCCACGCCTCCGCGTCCAGCCACACCGTGGTATTGGCCGCGGGGACGTCCACCACAGTCAGCTCTGAGCCGCTGTGATCCACAGAGTCCTGGACCGAATCTCCCTCCATGCTCCCGCTCCCCTCGGCGGCGCGGGCCGTCGTACTCGGCTCCGCAGCCCGGACTGCACGAGCAGTCCCACCGGTGGCCAGTCGGTCTGCACATTCCACAAGGTCTTTACGCAACGCCGCGAGCTGCTGCCGGTCCCGCACCACGAGGCACCCCTCGTCCGTGCCAGAAGCCGTAAGGGCACTCCTTTCCTCCACAACCCGCCTCAATGCCAGCGCGCACATGGCTGCAGTGCAACTTTTATCCGCCATTTTTGTGTCCTCGTTGGAATTTTTTCTATTCGTTTTGAGTTTTCCTTCCTCTCACCTCCCACCCCCTTTCTCCAGGTTGGTTCACAACCGGCCTCTACCGTGCTTTACCTCGTTGATCGCTTCGTGTTTCGCGAACGGATGTTACCGTGCGCCACCCAGTTTTGTGTTCGTGTATGTATGTGTGATATACGTGCATTTTTTATTTGCGTATGGTTCTCCCAATCCCCCCCCCCCGTTTTATGTTTATGTATGTGTGCATGATAAACGGGCCTTTTTTCATTTGTGTATGTGTGATATCCTATCTGTATGCCTTTTTTTTCGTACGGTTTTACTACCGTTTTATGTTTGTGTATCTATGTGTCATATGCGGGCCTTTTTTTATCTGCGTGTGTTTGCATACGTTCGTGTAGCACGTCGGGCCTTCGATCTGCGCTATTCCACATTTTTTTTCTCAACCGTTGGCGCGTCGCGCCACGTCGGCGGGCCCGAAATTTGGCTTTCGCAGTCCGTTCCTCGCCGATGTTCGCTGATGTGCCCTCTCTCGGATTTTCCGTTGCCACCCGCTCCGGCGCGCTGTGACGGGGGGTCCTAAGGCTGGGGCGAGACGGATTGGCCAATTTCTAGGCTCCGGCGCTCGCCATTGGCCGATGGGATGGGCCTCCTGCGATTGGCCGTAGGGGTTGGGAGGCCTCGGGTGCGCGCCCCGGCCAGCCCGGGGCGGGGGACACAGCTGGCCCGGGGCACGCCCGTACATCAGGTGTCCATGGAGTCCTGGAAAATTGACTGGGCCCAACCCCCAACCTGCGCCCATCCGCCACCAACCACGGGCAACGGCTCTTTCACCTGATGGCCCTTTCGCCTGAGTTTTGTGGCACCTGCGACACGGCAGCGGCGAAAGTGTCCATGCAAAGGAGCTCGCGAAAGCACAATTGCCCACTTAATGGCCCATTCTCTCGTGGCTAAGGCTGGCAAAAAAAGTGTGCGCATTACGCCCACGTGCGCACCCGGTGTATCCGCGCTTCCCTCGCTTGCACGGGGAAGACGACGGGGGAGGCAGCCAGTTTGGAAGGGGTTCCATACTGCGGGGGGCTCCTTCGAATTGGATCAAACTGGGTGTGACGAAATGCAGTGTGGATACACCGGGTACACCGGGTGCGCACACGGTTCGTCCGAATGTACTGGATGTGACGAAGTGCACGACACGACGACCCAGAAATACCTTTTCGGGGCAGTCCACCCTTTCGTCAGACTCGTTAACCAATCCTTGCGCCCCAACCCCATCCGCCACTGTTCACTCTCTGGCATTTAGGGGAATGTGTATCGCGCGGCATGTTTGGGTTTTAGGTTACCGGTAACCCTTACTAGCTTTTTACTTTTTGGGATCACGTTTAGCCCCTAGTACGGAAGGATTTCTCGCCGATCAAACCCCCCAGGGACAGTTTTTTGTTCTTCGAGGTTATTTCTCTCCACAGCGAACCACGTGTAACAATCTCCTTAATCTTGGGCAGAGGGCAGAAACAGTAAAACCCTTATGGGCCTGGCATGGCATTCTGGATGGCATCAACCCTAAACTCGAAAAAGGGCCACGAATTTAGGGTTGATGCCAACCAGAATGGCATACTCGCCCCTATGGGTTTTAGTTTTTTTCTTGCCAGCTAGCCTGCCCGAATGTTGTCAGCTATTTTCAGTAGCGCTACAGATCCCACAATATCGCAGGAAAACAGAGTTCAGTAGCCCCAAAGTGACGGAGCAAGGAGATTGTGACGCGTGGTTTTCTGTGGTGCGAACTAACCTCAAAGAACAAAAAACTGGCCCGAGAGGGTTGGAACAATGAAAAACCCTTCCGTGAAAGGGCTAAATGTTACTCGAAAGAGTAAAACTCCAGTAAGGGTTACCGCTAACCTAAAAACCCGGCATGTTTCCTGGTTTGCACTTTCGAACTTCCTTTTTCATTCGAAGCGCAGCCCGCTACGCCTAATCGCAGCACGCCACGTCGCAGACAATTCCCGAAGCTGCTCACCTTGTACAGTTCCTGCTGGGGGCAGCGAGTGGTCTGCCCATGAGTCGTCGTTAAGGTGACGCCACCTCGAGAGTTGGGCCGCTTTCCAGCAAACCCCCACTCCGCGCAGCCCCCTTCCCCCCTCCCCCCTCCCATATCTCATCCACACTTCCCTCACACACCCCACACACATATTTGAGTGTGTTGCATTCATATAGTTTTCCTCGCCTCTCCAGTACTTGTCCCTTGTCTGCGTCACGCTCCCTCCCTTGCTAACTGTTTCGTGCTTCCTGGCTTTCGCTTTTTTAGTCAGTTCGGCTAGCGATGATGGAGCCTGCAATGGCCGCTCCACCTCAACCATCAGGGTATCCGCCATACACGCCCGCCCGCGAATTTCCCGAGCGCCATAGTCTTTCCCCGGAGCTGGACCGTCAAGTCTCGGAGCTGATCAGTGCGATGGAGGCGGCGCGGGAGGCGAGTGATCGCGTGCAGCGGCTGTTCTGCCGCTCGTTGTACCCGTGCGTCAAACGCGAGCTCGGATCCCTCCGCGAGGAGCTGTTGCTGTTAGCACCGCATCGACTGACGGGATCTAAGGAGAGGCCCGCCGTGCCATTGTGCCCGCGGGAGGGAGCGGAGCTGAATAATGGCGCGACGGAGAAGACTGGCGGCTTGAAATTCGGCGCTGAAGACGGCGTTAAAGACGGCGGTGAAGGCGGAAAGCGTGAGTGCCAGACGACCGACAGGCGAGAGAAAGGCCGGATGCAGGACGACGAGAAGAGCGAGTCGGATCGCAAGTCGAAGTACTCGACCCCGATAGTGTGTGGTTCGATTCTTGGTAGGGGGGAGGCGCAGGCGAGTGGGTCAAGGTCGGAAATTGGGATCGCTGCAGTCGCTAAACTGAATGGTGACTCGCAAGAGGACGAGGAGGAGGAAGCACAAGGTGTCGACCCGAGCGGACAGGGCCTCGGTTGCAAGGCTCAGATGGAGGTCTTGATCTCCCGCGATTTTCCCGCAGGCTTGACTGGGGAAGGCGGCATCGTCAGAGAGGCTGGGAACGCGGGGACTTTGTCGGTTGAGAAGGAGAGTCGCCGCAAGGGGGCGGCGGCTGACAGGGTGCAAGGAGCGAGGCGGAGCGTCGAGTCCGCTAGCCACGGCGACTCGGCTGGCGTACCTGCGGCGGACGAGGCGGACGAGGCGGAGGTGGGGGAGGAGGCGGACGAGGCGGACGGGCACTCGCCGCGTGCAGCGGAACGTGGCATGCCGCGTGAGGGGGAAGGCGCGGCGGCCGGGAAGAGCGGCGGTGGCTCTTCGGATGGGCGAGATGGAGGCGGAGACGACGGCCGTGGAAAGAAGGTTCTTGTTGCGCCTTTAAAAGAGGATTGGCGAGATGGAGGCGGACGCGACGGGCGTGGTTCTGCCAACGGCGATGGCGCTGGGCCCGCGTCCGGTAGCAGCGGTGGTCGGCGTCGTGATTTCCGTGCTGAAAAAAAGTACGCCGAAGGCGAGATGGGAGTGTTTGGGGTGGTGCAGGATGGGGATGCCAAGGTGGAAGATTCGCAAGACGTTGACTTGCTGGGTGATGACGATGACGATGATGATGATGTTACAAGTGAGACCGAATCGCAGGAAGATCGCATCCAGGATCCTGAGGGGTGCGATGTGGTGTTGGCGGAAGGCGAGAGCTGCACGCCCAGCACCGCTACTGCGGCTGCTGCGGCAACGATGGCTGCCTTGGAGCGGAAAAACAGGGGAAAGCTCAAGGTGGGCGAACCTGCTGCTAAGCCCAAGGTGGGCGAGCCTGCAGTACAGCCCAAGGTGATGGGGGAAGGCAGGGACGGGACGCACGGGCAAGGCAAAGCTGAGACACTGGACTCTGCGTCTGTGGCTGTGAACGGAGCGCTCTCCGTGGCTTCACGGGGCCCAAAGGGAGAGAAGGAGGCATGGGGGCACGCAGTGGGCGTGCATGCAGAAGCGGAGGGGGAGGGCGGAAATGGAGCAGCAGGGGCCGATGTGGCCGGGGTAGCTCCAGCAGCAGGTCCTGCAGGTTTAGCACGCGAGGGTAAGGTGGTGGCTAGTGCACGGGTGAGGAGCAGCAGCCCTAGCAGCGGCAGCAGGTGCAGCAGTGGGGGGGCCGGCAGCGAGGGCGGCAGCGGGAGGGTGTGGCGGAGGCGAGGGGATGCGGAGTCATCGCAGCAGCACAAGGACCGAACGCTGAAGCAGACGTGCCTGACTCGGCACTTGGGCGGAGGGAGTGCGCAACGTGGCAGTGCTGCCAGACGTGCTGCCATTTTTGCTGCTGCTGCTACTGGTAGTGGTGGTGCTGGTGATGCTGTTGGTGGAGGAAGAGGGGGAAGAGGTGATGCGGTGGGTTCTACTTCAGCAGCGCACGCAGCATGCACCAGACGTGCAACGAACTCTGGTGAAAGGTTTGCATGGGCCACTCGGAGCAGCGCTGCTGCTCGTCCTGCTAGCTCCCTCACACATGGTGTGGCTAGCCTGCCACCGGCGAATCAACAGGCGGAAATGGAGAAGCGGGAGAAGGAGACTGAGCAGGAAGAGGTGGATCAGATGGAGGAGCAGGTACAGGAGCAATACGAGCAAGAATTTATTTGGGAGGAGGAGATCCAGTGCCGGCAACATTCAATGCAGCAATGGGAGGAGGGCGAGCAGAAACAACAGCAGGCGCTGCAGCAGGGGCGGCAGAAGCAGCAGCAGCAGCAGGAGCAGAGGCAGGGACAGCAGGAGGAGGGTGACATGGAGGAGGAAGACCGGGCAGAGGGTGCACTTGTTGCTGTTGGTGTGCGGCGGAGCGGCGAGAAGAAGCGAGGGGCGGATGAGGGGGTGAAGGCAACAGAAACGGTGGATATAGTCATGGGTGGACTAGGAGGGGGTGGCGCTGGTGACACGGGCACAGGGCGAAAGAGGTTCAAGAAAGCAGGCATGAAGATGCAGCAGCAGGAAAAGCCACCACGGCATCCGCAAGCACAGGCACAAGCGCAAGCACAACCGCGAGTGCAAGTGCATCTCCTCCCTGGGAATCCACCAGTGCCCAGGGCTGCAGGGACGGCAGCAGAACTGGTGCAGAAGCTGCAGGGGGGGAGGAAGTCGCGGTGGAAGTGTGCCAAGACTGCGGGCAGCAGCAAGGCTGCAGTGGTGGGCGGCACTGTTGCTGGGGGTGTGGACAACTGTGAGATTGACCTGCTGGATTCGCCGGAGAGAGCCGTGTGGGATCGGATTGCTGGTTATGGTGGCGTGGGGGATTGTGGCAGCGGTGGGGTGAGGAAGCAGGGTGGGAAAAAAGGGAAGGGGGGTGCAAGTGGAGGGAGTGGTGGTGGTGCTGCTGCTGCTGCTGCTGGTGATGGCAGCGTTGGGGGTGGCGGCGGTGTTGCTGGTTGTGGCAACGATGGTGGTGGTGGTGGTGGTTGTGATGAAGGTGGTATCAACATACCGGCTGGTGCGGTGCCAGCAGCAGCAGCAGCACCACCACCACCACCACCACCAGCTCCTGAAGGTACAAGGCGAACTGCATTAGGCATAAGGGCAGCAGCACGGGGCGAGCCAGCACCAGGCGAAGCAACAGCAGCAGCAGCAGACGGCTCAGTAGGAGCAACAGCAGCAGGCGACCCCCAGGGAGGCAGCAGGCCAGGCAGGGCAAGCGGGCCTCCGCCGCCCTTCAAGTACGTGGACGTGGTTCGCAAGAAGGCAGACCGAGAGATGCTGCAGGCAGGCGAGTGCGAGACGTGCCGCAAGTTCTATGATGCGATACTGGAAGGGGACGTGCAGGGGGTGATGGCACCCCGGTGCGAGCAGCACCAGGTGGCATCAAGGCACCGGTGGCGGTTTGCTCCTCCGTCCACCCCCCCTGGCTACTGGAACGTGGGGTTTGACTCCGATGTGTGACCATGGCAGGGGGGGGATGGGATGGGCATGGGATGGGATGGGATGGCATGGGATGTGTATGGTATGTTGTGGACTTCGGAGTGATGGCACGATGTGGGGTGGCTTGTGGGGGTCAGCTGTGAAGGGTGTTGTGAAGCGAAGCAGTGAGATGCAATGATATTTCCTTATACAGCATGTTTGAATGTAATCTCTTACTGTATCATATTCTGATGGCACTAAAATATATACAACATAAGATCATAAGAGGCAACTTCATAATCTGATCAGATCTAATAGCACTAGCTAGTGCATGCCCCACTGCACTAGCAGCAGGTACCTATAACGTGGTATATGTAATTTTTTGAAAGCGTGTAACACTTTCTAAAAAATGTGTATTGTGAAAGTGTAGCGAGGGCCAACGCAGCAAGGTCAGCGTCGAAGCGCTACTCACCCTCTTTTGCCTACAAAAGAGGGACGTGAGGCCATTCGACCTCACCCACGTTCTTCATTTCTAGTTCCAGTTTCGTTTTCCCCACCCACCCACCCTATTGGACGGTGTAGTCTATTGGACGAGAACCATGTACTGTAGCCCATATGAAATGAAGCACGCTGCCTTTGCCAAGGTGACCCAAGCAAGCTTTCACAATCACAATACTAACAACGAGACAGAGCAAGCTAAAAATCACATCCTAAAAGATGTACCAACAGCTTGTACTGGTTACTTGATCGCTGCAAGACTGGAGTAGACCCCTCCCCTCGCAATCAGCTCCTCATGCTTCCCCTGCTCCACCGCCACGCCCTTCTGCATCACCACAATACAATCCGCGTCCTTGATAGTAGACAGCCTATGGGCGATGACTATGGTGGTGCGGTCCACCATCACCTTCTCCAGGGCCTCCTGCACCACCTTCTCGCTCTCCGCATCCAGTGCTGACGTGGCCTCATCCAGCAGCAGCAGGCGCGGGTCCCCAATGATGGCTCGGGCGATGGCGATGCGCTGCTTCTGCCCGCCCGAGATCTGCACGCCCCTCTCGCCCACCAGCGTGTCGTACCCCTGCGGCAGCCCCGAGATGAACCCATGCACATTCGCCGCCCGCGCCGCCGCAACAATCTCCGCCTCACTGCTCTCCCCCCCATCGTCGCCTCCCAGGCGGCCGTACGCGATGTTGTCGCGGATGGAGATGTTGAAGAGTGCGGGCTCCTGGCTGACGAGCCCCATGTGGCGGCGCAGCCAGCGCAGGTTGAGCGCGGCGATGCTGCGGCCGTCCAGCAGCACGGCTCCGCTCTGCGGGTCGTAGAAGCGCTCCACCAGCGCCACCACCGTCGACTTGCCGCTGCCGCTCTCCCCCACCAGCGCCACCGTCTATAGGGCAAGGAAAAAGTTGGGGGAGAGGTTGGGGATGGAATGAGCACGAGGGAACAAAACAGAGGGAAGAAGATCACAACCCGCGAGTTGCCTTGAGCTGGATGAATATGGGTGCTGAGATTAGTTTTGAGTTTTGCATGAGGGTGAAAAACACTGGCTAGATAGCTTTGCGCTTGACCTAGGGCGCGGCACAGCACAGCGCAGCACAGCCCAGCCCAGCACATTCCAGCGCCATGCAGCACAGCGCAGCACAGCCCAGCGCAGCACAACAGACAGAGTCGCCACACACACCTGGCCGGGCGGCACAGTGAGGTTGAAATCAGAGAGAATGGGGATGTTGGGGCGCGCCGGGTACGCGAAGCACACGTCTTTCAGCTGCACCTCGCCCCGCACCTCCTCGGGCTCCTCCCCGCCCGCCTCCGGGTCGATCTTCGACTGCCGGTCCAAAATGCGGAAGATGGAGTTCACTGCTGTCTGCACCGTGGGCATGTCGGGGGCTAGTGCTGCTGCCTGAGCAATGCCGGTCGCTGTGAACACAATGGCGAAGAACACCTGCAGGGGAAAGAGCGTGCGAGTGTGTTGGGTGCACGATCAGCAGAAAAAACAGCAGAGGAGGGGACGAAGAAGGACAAGGGAGCGGCCAGAACTGGAAGCGAGAGGAAGCACGGCATCGCATGGTAAAGCAGGCAACATGGTAGAAGCAAGCAGCATGACATGAACCCCACACACTCGCACCACATCTGGAACACCCCACAGCAGACCCCCACTCCTCGAACCCCCGCGCTCACCTGGAAGACGTCTTGGAACGTAGTCTTCCCCTGCAGCACGAGCTTGATAAGAGTCTAGTTCTGGAGCACCTCTAAAACTAGACTCAACCGCCCCCCCCCCCTCCTTCACCTGGAAGACGTCTTGGAATGTCGTCTTCCCCTGCTGCACGAGCTTCCCTCCGAACCAGAAGGCGAGGGAGTAGACACCGAAGATGGAGAACTGAGCCACGGCCATGCCCACCCCGCTGACATGCGCCTTGCGGATGCCGGCAGCAATGGGCGTGCTGCAGCGCTCGTTGTACAGCTCCTGCACGCGCTGCTCCGCTCCGAACGCCGCCACCGTGCGGATCGCACTCACCGCATCATTCGCCACCCGCGACGCCTCCTCGAACTTGGCCTGAAGTGATGGGCGGAACATCGATGGAGATTTGAACACGGGGCACAGGTATTTTGGAGGCGCCTCAAATAGCCTCCTGGAACTTGGCCTGATAGGCGGAGCAACGACGAAGATTTGAACACGGGGCACGGGTGGGCAAGGGGCCATGGGAGCAAGGTTCAGCATTCGAAACAAAAAACGAGGGCGTATTTGGGGGGGATCACACAACAGGGGCCCCTCACCGGTGCCTGCCTTCTTTTGCAGTTTCCAGCTAGCAAATAAGCGATCACTCTCTCCTCTCCCATCACGCACGCGGCATCGCCACAGCATCACAAACTACAGCGTGGTACACCATCCTTACCTTGGCGCTTTCGGAGAAGCCCTTGAGAGACTGCATCTGCACGGTGCCGGTGATGCCCAGCAGCGGCACTATCGCTAGGATCACCAGCGACAGCTGCCAGTTGGCGCGGAACGCCAGCACGAGCCCCAGGATGACGGTGGCGAGGTTCTGCACGAGCAGGGCCAGCTGGTCGCCCACCATGCCGCGCACTTGAGCTGCGTCTGTGGAGAGGCGCGCACCGATGGCGCCACTGGTGGGGGGAGAGGGGAGGGGAGGGAATGGAGTGTGCTGTACACAAGTGGTGTGTAGTAAGAAGTAGGGAGTCACAAACATGGAGACACACCACTCCCTTCCCCTCCCCACACCCTCCTCCCCCCCTTCCCTCCCTGCCATCCCCACCTCCCCTCGCCTTCCCACGCCCTTTCCCCCCGCACACAGAGACAGGGACTGAGTTTCCTTTTGCAATCCCTAAAAAGAAACACCACGCACCTGGAGTTCTCATCCTGGTCGAACCATGCCATCTCCTGGCGCAGCACCGCGGAGAAGCACAGCGCGCGCACGCGGCGGATCAGCGAGTACCCCACCGCACCGAACATCACCGTCTGGCACGCGATGGCCACGCACGCGCTGCCGCCCAGCACCACAAACATGCCTGCCCAGAAATCCGCGTCCTTGCGCATCTGGCTGATGTCGGGGTTGTAGAAGGTGGTGATGATGTTGGAGAGGATGAGCGCAAAGAACGGCATGATCACGCCGTGGGTCGCCGCAGCCATGGAGCCCAGGATGGCGAACGGCCACTCGGGCTTGTTTAGCATGGCGAGGCGGGCCATCGGGGTGTCCTTGAACGGAACCTTCTTCTTCTCCTCCTCCTCCTCCTCGCCCTCCTCGCGTTTCCCCTCCTTCCCTCCTTTTTCTTCTCCCTTCCCTTCCTTGTCTCCCTTCCTCTTCCGCAGCAGGTTGCTGAAGAAGCCTCCACTCCCCTTCCCTGCCCCTGCCTCCTCAACCTGCTTCTCCCCCTCACCACTCTCCACATCCCTGCCGTCGCTCACCAGCCCATCCGCCTCCCCCGCTTCTTTCTTCCTCTCACCACCCTCTGATTCACCAACAGCACTAGCCGTCCAACCCTGCGATGCCGCTGCTACCTGTGCCCCCCCCCCTTCCTTGACATGAACTTGCAAAGGACTCAGGCTCTCCTTACCCTCCCCCTCCCCTGCGAGCTGCTGCAGACGGACGAGCTGGGCGTACGCGCCCTCTGGCAGCGCCATGAGCTCGTTGTGGCTGCCGGTCTGCACGACCTGCCCGTGCTGCAGCACGGCGATCTGGTGCGCGCGGCGCACGGTGGAGAGGCGGTGCGCGACGACGAGCGTGGTGCGCGCGCCCATGAGCGCGTCCAGCGCCGCCTGCACCAGCTTCTCGCTCTCCGCGTCCAGCGCGGACGTCGCCTCATCCAGCAGCAGCACGCGCGGATTGCGCAGAATCGCCCGTGCTATCGCCACGCGCTGCTTCTGCCCCCCCGACAGCTGCGTCCCGCGCTCCCCCACCTGTGTCTCATAGCCCTGCATGGGTTGGGGGGGATGGGGGGCGGTAAGGGTAGGAAATAGTAATAAAGATTTATGAGGGCAGGAGAGGAGGGGGGAGAGGAGGAGAGAGGAAAGGGGAACGAGGCGGCGGTACAGAGAAAGAGGCCAGGGGGGAGCAAGATGGAAGGGTGGGGGAGAGTGAAACGAGGAAGGAGGAGCAGGTGAAGGAAGGAGAGGCCTAGAGGAGAAGCCAAGGGGCTTGCACAGCAGGGAGAGGCCAAGGGTCGGAATAGAGGAGGGCGTGTTTTGCTTTAGAGAATGATAAAAAACAACATTCTCAAGAACAAAACACATAATAGGAGGAGGGCGTTGGCGATAGTGAGTGCGAGAGTGACAAGGACAATAGGCGGCAGTGATGGTTCGAGAATGCGAAGGGACAAGGCGAGCCACCATACGTCGGGCAGCGAGGAAATTAAGTCATGGATGCAGAAAGAGAGCATATATGGGGCGATGGGCGCATGAGGGCAGGAGGGCAGGAGGGCAGGAGGGCAGGAGGGCAGGAGGGCGTGAGAGCCGCCATACATCAGGCAGCGCGGCAATGAAGTCGTGGATGTTGGCGAGGCGAGCGGCCTCTTGGATCTCGGCCTCGGTGGCGCCCTCCTTGCCGTACGCAATGTTCTGCCGAATGCTCGTGCCGAACAGCGCCGGCTCCTGGCTGACGAGCCCCATGTGGCGGCGCAGCCAGCGCAGGTTGAGCGCGGCGATGCTGCGGCCGTCCAGCAGCACGGCTCCGCTCTGCGGGTCGTAGAAGCGCTCCACCAGCGCCACCACCGTCGACTTGCCGCTGCCGCTCTCCCCCACCAGCGCCATGGTGCGCCCCGCCGGCACGGCCAGCGAGAGCCCCTGGAAGATAGGGACGTCCGGGCGCGCGGGGTACGCAAAGGTGACCTCCCGCAGCTCCACCGCGCCCTCACACTCCGCCGGCTGCTCCCCCTCCGCGCTCCCACTGTCTATCACCGGCTGCCGCTCCAACACCTCAAAGATCTTCCCCGCCGCCGCCTGCCCCGACGCAAATGCCGACACGTTGGGGGCTGCTTGGCCCAACGACCTGCGAGGGTGGGGGGTGTGAGGAGAGAGAGGAGAGGAAGGAAGGAGAGTAAAGAAGAGTACGAGGGGAGGGGAGCGGAGGGGAGGAGTGGATTGGAGTAGAGTACGTTGCTGCTGATGAGAACTGCCCCCTCACACTCGCCCCTCACACTCCCGCCCATCTCTCCCCCATTCACAAGCATTCTGATGCCAATAATCAGCACGCCAAAGAGCACTCGCTCCTCACACTAACACACTACCCTCCATCCCCCACACCCTTTTTTCCTCTCCCCCCGGCACTCACATGCCACCAATGAGCACGCCGTAGAGCACTCGCCCCTCACCTTAACTCATTACCCGCCCTCTCTTCTTCCCCCCGACCCCTCCTATCCCCCTCGCACTCACATGCCGCCGATGAGCACGCCAAAGAGCACATTGAACACCCCACAACCCACACTCAGCACACAAAGACCCCCCTCCTCCCCCTTCTCCCCCTCCTCCCCCCCGGCACTCACATGCCACCGATGAGCACGCCAAAGAGCACAGTGAACACGTCTCCGCCGTCGTAGCTGGCGTCGGCGATGAGCTTGGAGCCGTACCACAGCGCGAGTGCGTAGGACGAGAACATGATCAACACCGTGAACCCGATGCCCGCCGCCGCGCCCACGCTCTGCTTCATGCCCTCGCGGAACGCCTTGTTCAGCTTCACTGTGTACTGCTGCACCGCCCTGTGCTCGCCCGTGAATGCCGCCACCTGGGGTGTGTGGTGGGGATGTGTGGTGGGGGTGTGTGGGTGGTGTGGGGTGGGGGTGTGTGGGTGGTGTGGGGTGGGGGTGTGTGGGTGGTGTGGGGTGGGGGTGTGTGGGTGGTGTGGATGAGACAGAAAGCAGAAAAGAGAGAAACACCGGGGAAAATGGTGGGTGGAGAGTGTTGAGGGAGAGAAGCCACAGACCAAGGAGACCCCAAGAGATAGCCCACTCACAGTGCGGACAGCAGAGACTCATTCCTCGACAATGGTGCTGGTAGACCCGTAAGCCTCTTGAGTCGACTCAAAAGCCACCTCGTTACCATGCCACCGAGGCCACTAGCCCGCTCACCGTGCGAATAGCAGACACGCATTCCTCGACGATGGTGCCCGCAGACGCGTACGCCTCCTGGCCCTTGTTGGACGACTTGCTCACGATGACGGTCATGGCGGCGCCTGCAGCCGCCAGCAACGGCAGCACGGCCAGCATCACGAGCGTCAGCTGCCACCCCGCTATAAACGCCACCACGAATCCGCCCACGAACTGCGCCATGAAGCGCAGGAAGATGCCCACCTGGGGGGGGGAGCGGAGGGGGTGGAGGGAAGGAAGGGGGAGCGGGGGGGGTGGAGGGACGGAAGGGGGAGCGGGGGGGGGGGAGGACGGAAGGGGAAGACAGGGGTGATGGGGGGAAAGATTGGGGGATGGAATGGGATGGACGCAGACGAACCCGCCCACGAACTGCGCCAAGGCGTGCCGCCCTGACCTTCTCGCCCATGGCGCCCTGCACTGATCATGGCGTCCGACACTCACCTTTCTCCCGCATGCAACTTGTCCCTCCCCTCCTCTCACCTTTTCGCCCATGGCGTCCTGCACGAGCACGATGTCGCCCGACATGTGGCCGATGACCTCGCCCGTGCTGAGGCTGCGGTCGAAGAACCCGATGTCCTGCCGCAGCACCGCCGCCAGGTACCGCGCGCGCACCCGCGCCGCCTGCCGCTCGCCCGTCGTCATCCAGCACGCCATCTCTGCCGCACCCAAGGAGGGGGTGGGGAGCGGGGGAAAGAGAATGTGGGGTTGGAGGGCGGAAAAGAGTGGATAGGTTCCACGAAAAAGGAAGTGAAAGAGAGAGGAAGAGAACGGCTGACAATAGGGAAATCGCGTGCAGGGTGTTTTTGAGAATTCTCAAAAACACCCTGCTGTACATGGGCTGGAGAATGTGACAGTGGACGCTCAACGACCCCATTTGAGCACGGACAGAATTACAGGGGAGGAGGGGGGGGGGAGGTGGAACGGCGAAGGAGGAACGGCGCGATGGAGGAAAGGCGGAGAAACAGGAAGGCGAGGATGTGTGGACGAACCGAGATACGCGGCTACGGCAGCTCCAATGGCCAAGTAGAGGAACTTGAGCGCGACCTGGGATGATCCATGGGAAAAGAAAGGGATCAGGAGGATAATAGTGAGACTACCGTTGGGAGAAAAAAGAGTGCTGCGCCAATCGAATCGATCTTGATCTCAAAGGAGCCACAGCGCAGGCCAAGATGGCTTCCAAACGAACGAACTATTTATAACCGAAGACAGAACAGAATAGAGCACGAGGCTCACACTAGTGACGGCGTCCATGAGCTTATTAACGTCGGAGGAGTTTTGCCCGAAGGCGTTGGTCAGCTCGCCGAAGAGCAGCGAGATCATCGGCATGGCCATGCCGAGCCCCACGGCGCACACGGACCCCACGACCATGAGCAGGATGTCCCACTTATCCGCGAACTTGAATAGCTGCCAGTAGTACACCGGCGGTGCGTCCGGCTCTTTCTTCTCTTCGCCGCTCTCTGCGAGCTTCTTCTCGTCGCCTGGCGCTAGCGAATCGTCATCGGCTGCTTTCGTCCTCTCGAGTTTCTTTTCCGCGGCGCCGTTTGCAGATGTGGGATCTGAAGTCTCTCCGGCTTCGGCTCGACGGCCATCGTCGTCCGATTCTCGTAGGGGCTCAGTCTCCGATCCCATGGTTGCACGAGGAAAGTCACCGACTCACCGAGGAAGCAGCAGTCAGTTGCAGATATTACTAAGCAACGTGTTGTCTGCTACAGTAATCTAGTCGTGTCGTGAGCTTCAGATGGAGAGGTTTCACTGTGCTGAATGACAACACCTAGGATGCAGATCTGAAGTGTGAGAATGTGGCAGGCATGCGGAGGGAAGGCTGCCTTGGTTGCTTTTCTATGCAGAGAGTGTGTCAGTGTGAGGAGACAAGTCACGAGTCACGACGAGACGAGACGGAACACTGGACAGTGGACACGGGGGAACAGCCAGCAACGCAAGCCAATGAAACAGTACTGTGCACCAGCGCCAAGGCAACGCGAGAACGGATGGATTCGCGGCAAGTCTGAAGTTGGTTTGGTTCGGGTGACGAGCCTGTTCGGCTGAAGGCGGTGTGGTGGTAGGAGTGCGTGCAGTGTCTTCACCCCACCTTGGGAGTTTCCTGGGGCCACAAGGGCAGGGAGGGGACGCCGAACCGAACCACGACCAGGGGTGTTGACCATGCCGAACCTCAACCTCACGCTCGGTGCAGGCACGGAGGTCGCGGGTACCAGAGATGCCTTTCAGCGGGGAGATTTTTGTTTTTTAAGGTTGTATGTCATAGGAAATTCTCCATGTGCCACATTACAAGAGCTTTGACTATAATTTAGAAATGTAGCCGAACTAGCAGGTCCTTAGCGATGAAATTGCCGAAATCGTTGAGATTTTCTGCCCAGTTCGCCACCTCAGCACTGCTGTGAGCACGTCAACTGGAGGAACTGCGTGGCCTGGAGGTTTTGGAATCTTCGGAGACCCTCCCTTTTCACGTTGCAAACGCGACCCTCCCCAGTTTTCAGCTGTCGTGAACTGCAAGGCAAGGTCTCATGTGATTTTCATCAATTCTGTACACCTGATTTTGGTTACTGTTTTAACAATCCCATATTTTGAATTATTTACAGTGAACTTTACAAACGTCTTCTGCTCATATTCCCTTAATTACAGTCTCACCCAGCAGGTGCTCAACATGAGTCGGTTTGACCCAGAATTTCCGGCTCAAAACAATCTGAGTGAATTGACGGTACTGTAGTTGATTGGCGAATGACGTAAGCAGACGATCACTTTGCTCCGACATCGTCGTTTTCGTCCATCGCGTGAGAATCGTACGGCATCTTTGCCGGTGCAGTGCGACAATTTCGTAACAGAGTGAGTTACGGAAGCTTCAAAAATTCCGCACGAAACAACGCTCGAACCGCGGAGCAGGTGTACTACAGCATGAAGGCTCGAGGCAATGACGAGTGACGTCACAAGACGTGGAATGGACAGTACAAATGGAGTCCATGGGACACCCACTACTTCGCCGAGTCGCAGGAGGCAATGTCGAACTCGACATTTCGCATGCTTCGCCATGGGCAAATGGGTCGCAAATGGGCATTTAGTAACAAGATATATCGGAAGTCAGAATTCTGGTCTATAAGCACATGCATCAGTATGGTCGGTTCGTTCCGTGCTCAATAAACTGAATCCACGTGGTGACCGTTTGGATTCGAACAAACAGCTACTGCCCGTAAAACAGGACAAATGGGCTGGCTAAATCGATTAAGATTGGCTACGGACAGAGCGTAAGGTGGACGACATGGATACACCACTTATTTTTTTGAGTTTTGCTAAAACTCGCGCGGCGCGGGACTGAAAGTCGCAAATCTGGTAACACAGGCAAAATCGACAATAGAGGGGAAATCGGCACGTGACCGAAATGATTGCGGGGTAACATACTTTCACCCATGCAGACACAACGATGTTACCATCTTATCGCCGGTGGATTCCAAACGTATTGAGTGACTTTCGCCTAACATCTCATCTTGACGTTCGTAATATGATTATTATCCAGCTCACAACCATCAGATTAAAAAGAAACCGCACATATAGTAACACTGGTTACAACAAAGGCCTACGTGTCCAACACATGCAACGCTATAACCAGCAGATTAGCCTACCACCCACCCCTCACGACTGCCGAGTCACACTGTCTGCAATACGAGTCCATCGCTAAACAGGCACACCATGTTGCACTGTCAACCAGCGTCTCTACCTTCCCACAAAACACACAAAAAAACACACTAAGATTATGCAGCAGGTGAACGCCGCAGAACAACCCTACACAAATCGTAACAACATTCACGCAGAACGCGATTAAACAAGCACGAAAGCACTAACAAAGCGAGACGCGGACAACTAGTGAAACAGATGACAGATGAGAGAGACAGAGGGTGGAAGTAGAGAGACATAGGGCTTTTAGAGAGATACAGAGATACAAAGAGATACGGAGCGTGACCCGCGGCCATGTGCCGCATGCTTAGTATGCAGCTATCTCAGAAGCCAAGCAGGTCGGATTCGTCAGCGTGGCCGTCCAAATCTCCCTCAACGCGGAGCAAGCGGCAGCGCACGGCGATGACATCAGGGTCATCTATAGCGGCGGCGGGAGTAGGGGGTAGGACGGGCGGGGAAAGATTCAGGTTCAGAGCGTTCCCCGACACCCTAGCCAACCTGTCGACCTCCACCGGATTCCGGGAGTCGAACACGTCGCGGAGGTCGTTCGGGCTAATGCCCGTAGCCCGGGCATAGCCCACAAGCATCTCCGTGGCCCGGCGCGCGATGTGCCTCATGGCCCTCGTGTGTTCGCGGCAAGTGACGATATCGAACGGGGCCTCCCAAGCAGCGGGGAGCGGGTCGGCTCGAGGTGGCTCGACGGCGAGAGGGTCGGAACCCTCGAGATCGCAAGTCGGATGGTTCTCGTCGATCTCGAGAAACTCAGACGCTGCCATCGCGACCGGCCCGAGCTGAAGGCAAGGAATGCACGCCACCATGGCCTCCAACTCAGGCTGCACCTCGCCTGGGTCTCGCGCATGGGATTCCGTCTGCACAGCGGCGGGCATCCAGCTCGCGGGCAGAATCCGCGCGTGCCACCAGCAGCACTCCATCATGCTCTGTTCGATGGAGAACCAGGCGTCATGTAGCCAGACGACCACCTCGCGCATCTTCGGCTTCATCCGCTGCAGCTCCGCCGGGCAGCCGCGCGCTTCCCACATCTGAGTGAGGACCGCGAGCCATTTCACGCGGTACCTCGCCTTGGCCGTCGCGATCAGGCCCTGGTCGAGCGGCTGGATGAAGGCGATCATGTTTGGTGGCAAATATACAACACGCATGTTACTCACCTTGTGGGTGCGAAAGCCACAAAGGTCCTCGGTTATGGCACCCGGAGTGGTGATGCGGTGGCTATTTGCATTGTCGACGAGGAGCACGATCGAGCGTCCCTCGGCGAACATGGCAGCGTTGAGCGACTCCATGTACGCTGTAAATACCTACAGGTTTAAAAAAATGGGGAGAGTCATCGCGATAAACGGAGGTGAGATAAGTGGTTACGACATTACGCTACGGCTAATTTGAATACGAGAGGTGCAGTCACAAAGTATGAGCACAAATTTGCAACACATGGAAAAAGGTAGGATTTTGACTTGGGGGAGTTTAGATGGCTGGGCGTGTTCCTTACCTCGCTCGTCATCCACCCTTTCTTGTTGTAACACCAATGGACCTAGGGCTCGTGATCGAAATTCCCTTCATTGAAATCGCGCGGCCGTCGAACCTTGCTTATCATCATGGGCTTGAGCATCGACGAGCCGTCGGTGTTACAAGTGAAGACGACGGTGACGCAGTCCTTCGCAACTTTGCGACCGGACAGGGTCTCGTCGGTCCACGTGCGACGGGGCTGTAAGGACGTGAAAAGTGTCGTCTCGTCCAAGTTGTAGAGATCCTTGAGGTGCACACCGAGGAAGAGAAGCAGCTCCGGAAGCTTTTGGCGCGCCCAGTTGACAGCGGCCATGGCAGCGTCTACAGCTTCGCCTTTGCTTGTGAGGCTCTTGAAACCCATGCGGTCCACAGCCTTGTGACACCAGTTCAGGGAGCATTTAAACGAGGATGGAATGCTCAAAATATGCGCAAGACTTTTGGCTTTAATCTGAATAAGACTCAACGTCAAAAGAATACCAGCATAACCGGAATTTCTTATCCAAATCTTCAGTTCGTTCTCGAGGGGGGTACGTAGTTGCATACGTGGAGGCATGGCGGACCACAATCGATACCCAAAATCCGATGTGGGGTTCTTTGTGCCCAATGGAAAGCGAGTGTTCACCGCGTATTTCGTTCGTGCTTCGCTAAACCACTAAGTCGTATCGCACGCAATCGTAGCTACTCCCCCCATTGGTTGCTTGGAAGATTTTTCCGGTCCATTGGTCACCGCGCTGGTTGGATAGTGCAACTGTACACTTATATGTGGACACTATATAAGGGGGCCATAAGCAGTGTAGAACTTTAACTTGGACTGTAGAAGTTTGTCGCTTGGAACGGTTGAAATTGTAGCGAAGATAAGGTGTACACAGAAAGGGACTTCATCATTGACGGAACAAGGCTTGCGTGGCGTTTACTGACGCCATGCTGTAAGTGTCATTTCATCTGTGACACATTTTCTTCGCTGGCCACGCAATCCAGCTCCATCAGGATTGGCCACCTTCGAAACGCTGGATCCCCAGTTACAGGAGTAGACAATTGAGGGCGGTTCGACCTGGCAGATGCGTCCTGTTCTTGTGTGCTCCCCGCACCATCTGAATTGGTTCGGGTTCAACCCATAAGACATTGTACCCTTGCCACGTGTTTCTTAATCAGAACCATGTCAGCAAGGATGAACTGGCATGGGCATGATATTTCTTCATACATGTCCCGCCAACAGTTGCTTTGGGGCCATCTGGTCCGGAGCGCAAGGCCAGACATTCTCGAATCTCGAGGCGGGACACACACCCGTCTGACATTTTCTAAGTTCCTTCCACCACCCCAAACCAGCTTTCTATTCCACCCTCATTTTCTGTATTCGGGTTTCTTGTTCCAGCAACATCGAGCTTACCCTTTCCTTCTAGCGAGCATCAAGGTTCCGAGCCATTTTACGAGGAACTACTTATCGCGAAAGAGCAGCTATCAAGCCTGACTAAGGGCGATAGGAGAACTACTTCCAGGTTCGAAGCATGGACGCGGGCGGCGAAGCTGACGAAGATTGTAGCAAGCTAGTAGCCATGGAGCACTACCAGGCCGACGGCGAGAAACCTAACCCGGGAGGAGAGCCAGCGCAGCAGGAAGAACCGGACCAGAAGAAGCCTCCAGCAGAACCAGGCGACGGGGACGAATCAGCAGCAGCGCGAAGCGTTCGCTTCTGGGAGCTGTTCAAGTTCGCGGACGGGTGGGACGCGCTGCTCATGCTGTGCGGGTCCGTGGCCGCCATTGGGCTGGGCGTCGCGTTCCCGCTCATCTCGCTGCTCTTCGGCGCGCTCATCGACGCCTTCGGGCAGAACTCCGCCGATCCCTCCGCGCTGCTGGACGCCGTCACTGACGTGCGCGGTGGGGGGAAGGGGGGGGGGGGTTGACTGGTGGAGGATTAACTGGTGGGGTATTGTAACATGAAGGGATTCGCCATGCATGTGCTCCTAAACATGCATGGGAATTCCCGAAAGGGATAGTTAGGCAAGCATGAGATTCTTAGACTGAGATGCCTAGAGCTATCCGAACTAGACACTTGCTACCCAAGAGTATATCCTCCTATCTCTGCTGGAAGGAGATGTCCAGCAGAGCATAGCAGGCATTAACTCATGGGAGATTAACTGATGGGGGAGTAACTGATGGGGTATTCACTGATGGGGGACTCACTGATTGGGGTTTGACTGGTGGGCGAGTGAGTGGGATGATGAGTTCTAAACTACGCACGCCTCCTTTTAACCATTCTGTTTGCGCATTCACAGCTAATGATCTTCTTCTCCCCGCCTGGCTCCCGCCGTATGCCCTGCAGGTGGCTCTTAAGTTCCTGTACCTGGCTCTGGGCGCAGGAGCAGCAGGATACATTGGTGAGTAATGTGCTGTGCAGTGCTGTGCAGTGCTGTGCTGTGCTGTGCTGTGCCGTTGAGCTTCCTCACACGCACCTGCACCTGCCAGAATCATGCACTTCTACGTTCATTCAGGCTACTCGCACAAAGATCAAGTTCCCGTTTCCTCTCTGCCCTCCACTCTCACCCCACTTTCGCCTACATCCGCTTATCCCCCTTCTTTGCCTTTTGGGCTTTGACGTGGTCCCACCATCCTGGAGACCTCATACCTCACCCTACCCTCCGCTTGATCGCTGTCTCCTCCCCCCCTCCAACCCCCCTCCCCCCCCCCCTCTCTCCCCCCGCCCGGGTGCGACAGAGATGGCGTGCTGGATGACGACGGGCGAGCGGCAGGCGGCTCGGGTGCGGGCGCGGTACCTGGCGGCGGTGCTGCGGCAGGACATCGGGTTCTTCGACCGACACCTCAGCACGGGCGAGGTCATCGGCCACATGTCGGGCGACATCGTGCTCGTGCAGGACGCCATGGGCGAGAAGGTGAGTGCAGGACGCCATGGGCGAGAAGGTGAGGAGGGGGGGCAGGGGGGGGGAGGTGAGGGCAGCCCATTATGAACCCACAACAGTTATCACCTCTGGAGTGATTTCTAGGCCACCCTAACCCGCGTGCCGTCAGGTGGCCTCTTTCCTGGTGTACATGCCATGGCACAGTCCGTAGGCGTCTATTTTTTAGGCGCCTCAAAAATAGACATGGCGCAGTTCATAGGCGGGTTCATGATCGCCTTCCCAGCAGGAAATAGCATACTTGGAAACACCTTAAAAGATCCCCTTTCACCCAATCCCACGCCTCCCTTTCCTTCCCCCCACCACCCCCACCCCCTTCCCCCCCTCCACAGGTGGGCTTGTATATGGCGCAGTTAGCCGGCGGGTTCAACATATCGTCGCATCCCTAGCAATTGTAAATAACCTCCTTCACCTACCCCTTGCCTCCCTTCCCCCCCCCGGAACCGCAGGTGGGCTCGTTCCTGCGGTACACGGCACGGTTCATAGGAGGGTTCCTCGTCACCTTCCTGGCGGTAGTAAGGACCCCCCTTTACCTACCCCCCACGCCTCCCTTTCCTCCCCCTTCCCCCCAACCAACCGCAGGTGGGCTCGTTCCTGCGGTACATGGCGCAGTTTGTGGGCAGGCTCATGATCGCATTCCTGGCATTGAGGCGCCTCAAAACTAGACTCCTGATCGCATTCCTGGCTTTGAGGCGCCTCAAAACTAGACTCCTGATCGCATTCCTGGCTTTGAGGCGCCTCAAAACTAGACTCCTGATCGCATTCCTGGCGGTTGTGATGTGAACATACCTGGAAGCACCTCAAAGTGCCCCCCTTTCCCCTCCCCCACGCCCTCCCCCGAACCCCAGGTGGGCTCGTTCCTACGGTAAATGGCGCAGTTTGTGGTGGGCTCATCATCGCATCCCTCGCAATAGTAACTAGCACCGCCTTTTTCCTACCCCCACGCCTCCTCCGCCCCGCCCCCCCCTTCCTCCCCTCCCCTCACCGCAGGTGGGGTCGTTCCTGCGGTACATGGCGCAGTTCGTGGGCGGGTTCGTGATCGCGTTCCTGGCGGGGTGGCAGCTCTCCTTGCTCATGCTCGCCACGCTGCCCTTGCTGGCGGGGGCGGGCGCCATGATGGCGCTCATGATCTCCGTCTCCTCCTCCAAGGGGCAGGTGGCTTATGGCGCTGCTGGCGTGATTGTGGAGGAGTGTGTTTCCGCCATTCGCACGGTGAGTGCTCTTGCCTCCTCGGCAGACTGCCACAGCTGCTAGAGGGGGAAGGCGCCATGATGGCGCACATGATCTCCATCTCCTCCTCCAAGGAGCAGGTGGCATACGGCGCTGCTGGGGTCATCGTGGAGGAGTGGGTCTCTGCCATCCTCACGGTGAGTGAGGGTGAGAGAGCGCTCACCTCCTTACCATCTCCCCATGCATACTCGCCACGCTGCCACTGCTGCGGGGGTGATCGTGGTGTTACCTTTATTGCCTGAGTTTCCCAAACAAAGGAACTCATGGCTTTCCCAGGCAATAAAAGTAACACCACATACTCGTCTTACATGCTGTTTCCAACTCGACGGCCCTAACCAGCTCTCATAACTCCAGCTTCTTACCCATCATGGCCCTACATCCACTCGCGAGGAGTCTATTTTTGAGGCGCCTCAAAAATAGACTCTTGACGGCCCTAAGCAGCTCTCATATCTCCGGCTTCATACCCATCATGGCCCTACATCCATTCCTCTACCTCTACCCCTCCATCCACCACTCCCCTTGGTCCTTCATCCCCTCTCGTTCCCTCTCGTTTCCTCTCGTTCCCCACTCCCAGGTGGCGGCATCCACGGGCGAGCACAGGGCGGTGCAGCACTCCCCTTGTTTTTGGCTTTTACCATCCTTCCTTCGTTCTCTCCCCCACCCCCCCCAGGTGGCGGCATTCACGGGCGAGCACAGGGCGGTGCAGCAGTACACAGCGAAGCTCAACAGGGCGTTCAGGGAGGGAGTGAAGCAGTCGGTGGCGGCGGGGGCGGGGCTGGGCGTGACGGTGTTCATCATGTTCTCGTCGTACGGCCTCGCGCTGTGGTACGGCTCCAAGATGATCGCCGACGCCGGGTACACGGGCGGCGACGTCTTCACCGTGCTCTTCGGAGTTATCATCGGCGGCGTGTGAGTGTGGCTATGGTTGGGGGTGTATTGAGGGCTGTGGTATGGCTCCAAGATGATCGCCGACGAGGTTACATGGGGGGACATTTTCACCGTGCTCTTTGGCGTTGTCATCGGCGGCGTGTGAGTGCGGTCAAGGGTTGGGGATGCAGGGTAGGGAATGCTGTGGTACAGCACCAAGATGATCTCGCACGTGGGGTACAGGCAGGGGGAGGGGATTGTGTTCACCGTGCTCTTTGGCGTCGTCATCGGCGGCGTGTGAGTGTGATTGTGGGTTCGGGGCGCAGGGAAGGCAAGATGATAGGACGCACAGTTGTACTTTGAGTCGACTCAAAATACAACTGATACCAAGCACACAGGGGAGTGCACGGGGGGCGACGTCTTCACCGTGCTCATTGGCGTTGCCATTGGCGGCGTGTGAGTGTGTCGATGATTGGGGGTGTATTGAAGGCTGTGGTACGGCTCCAAGATGACCGCGCACGCCGGCTACATGGGGAAGGGGAGGGGGAGAAGGGGGGGGTCTTCACTGTGCTCTTTGGCGTCGTTATCGACGGCGTGTGATGTGTTGAGACTGGGGAATGTGGTGGTGGTTCTTCTGCGTCTAGGGAAAGGTGCTGGTGCTGAGTGTGTGATATTTGAGAGGATAGCAGACGCGGGGTACATGGAAGGGAGATGCATTCACTGTGCTCTTCGGCGTTGTCATCGGCGACGTGTGATTATGGGTTGGGGAGTGCGGGTGTAGGGAGGGTGGGGAGTGTCCCAACTGGTCGTGTAGGGAAGTTGCAGAGAGGGATGAACGAGGGAGGGAGGGGGTACTTCGACTTCCTGTGCCACCTTTCTCACACAACCTTCCCCTTTCTCATCTCAACCTTTACTTGGTTCCTGTGTGGCCTCTTCCCGTCCCTTCCCCTATCTCCCACCCCATCTCTCCCTTACTTGCTCTCTCCCCCTCTCCCCTTTCCCTCCCCCTTTCCCCACAGATCCCTGGGCCAGGTGGCTCCAGAGGTGTCGGCATTTGCGTCGGGGCAGGCGGCGGCGGGGAAGATCTTTGAGGTGTTGGAGCGGCAGCCGGTGATAGACAGTGGGAGCGCGGAGGGGGAGCAGCCGGCGGAGTGTGAGGGCGCGGTGGAGCTGCGGGAGGTCACCTTTGCGTACCCCTCGCGCCCGGACGTCCCCATCTTCCAGGGGCTCTCGCTGGCCGTGCCGGCGGGGCGCACCATGGCGCTGGTGGGGGAGAGCGGCAGCGGCAAGTCGACGGTGGTGGCGCTGGTGGAGCGCTTCTATGACCCGCAGAGCGGAGCCGTGCTGCTGGACGGCCGCAGCATCGCCGCGCTCAACCTGCGCTGGCTGCGCCGCCACATGGGGCTCGTCAGCCAGGAGCCGGCGCTGTTCGGCACGAGCATTCGGCAGAACATCGCGTACGGCAAGGAGGGCGCCACCGACGCCGAGATCCAAGAGGCCACCCGCCTCGCCAACATCCACGACTTCATCGCCTCGCTGCCCGATGTATGGCGGCTCTCATGCCCTCCTGCCCTCGTGCACTCTTGCCATCTTGCACTTGCACCACGCGTGGGACTGCTCCCTTTGAGTTCATCAGCACGCTGCCTGATGTATGGTGCCTCTTCCCTCTCATGCTTGCTCCCATTCACCTGCCTCATGTCCCTGTTCCACCCCTCACGCCCCCTTCTCCTCTAGGCTTCTCCCCCCTCCACATGCCCTCATCCCTCTTCTATACTATCTCCAACCCTTGCCGCCCCCCACCCCCCCAACCCATGCAGGGCTATGAGACGCAGGTGGGGGAGCGCGGGACGCAGCTGTCGGGGGGGCAGAAGCAGCGCGTGGCGATAGCGCGGGCGATTCTGCGCAATCCGCGCGTGCTGCTGCTGGACGAGGCGACGTCCGCGCTGGACGCGGAGAGCGAGAAGCTGGTGCAGGCGGCGCTGGACGCGCTCATGGGCGCGCGCACCACGCTCGTCGTCGCGCACCGCCTCTCCACCGTGCGCCGCGCGCACCAGATCGCCGTGCTGCAGCGCGGGCAGGTCGTGCAGACCGGCAGCCACGACGAGCTTATGGCGCTGCCAGAGGGCGCGTACGCCCAGCTCGTGCGCCTGCAGCAGCTCGCAGGGGAAGGGGGGGGGAAGGGGAATGGGAAGGGGGAGGGGGAGGGGAAGGGGAATGGAAAGGGGGAGGGGGAGGTGGAGGGGAGCCTGGGTTTGGAACCCTCACATGCTGATGTGAAGGAGGTTGCAGAGGGAGTAGCATCGCAGGACAAGAGAGCTGGTATTGTAGCCACGGGTGTTGACAGTGGGATGGAGAGGAAGAAGGAAGTGGGGGAGGCGGATGGGCTGGTGAGAGACGGCAGGGATGTGGAGAGTGGCGAGGGGGAGAAGCAGGTTGAGGAGGCAGGGGCAGAGAAGGGGAGTGGAGGATTTCTTTGCAGGTTGCGGCGGAAGTGGAAGGGAGGGAAGGGAGGGAAGGGAGGGAAGGTGGGGTCAGACAAGGTTGGGAAGGGAGAGGTTGGAAAGGGGAACAAAGGGGAGGAAGAGGCAGGTGGGGAGGCGGAGGAGGAGGAGGAGGAGGGGAGTAAGAAGAAACATCCCAAGAACGTGGCGATCATGCGGCTGGCATCGCTGAACAAGCCCGAGTGGCCGTACGCGCTGCTGGGAACCATCTTTGCAGCGTGCTACGGCTTCATCATCCCCTTCTTCGCGCTCATCCTCTCCAACATCATCACCACCTTCTACCAGCCCGACCTCGCCAAGATGCGCAGCGACGCCGACTTCTGGGCGTCGCTCTTTGTCGTTCTCGGCGCCTCTGCGTGCGTCACCTCCTTCTTGCACTACACCTTCTTCGGGGTAGTCGGCAACGCACTCATCCGCCGCGTTCGGGCCATGTGCTTTGCGGCGGTGCTGCGGCAGGAGATAGGCTGGTTCGACCTGGACGAGAACTCCAGTGGGGCTATCAGTGCTCGCCTGGCCACCGACGCTGCCCAAGTGCGGGCCATGGTTGGGGACCAGCTCGCTCTTGTCGTGCAGAACACTGCAACGCTCTGCACCGGGCTGGTCATAGCCTTCCGCGCCAACTGGCAGCTGTCGCTGCTGGTCATCGCTCTGGTACCACTTCTGGGGGTGGCGGGGACAATGCAGATACGGGCGATTCAGGGGTTTGCTGATGACGCCAAGGCGCAGTTCGAGGAGGCGTCGCGGGTGGCAAATGACGCCGTGAGTGCAATCCGCACGGTGGCGGCGTTTGGAGCGGAGCAGCGGGTGCAGGAGCTGTACAACGAGCGCTGCAGCACACCCATCCAAGCCGGCATCCGCAAGGCGCACGTCAGCGGGGCGGGGCTGGCGTTTGGGCAGTTTGCCATCTTTGCCGTGTATGCGCTGTCGTTCTGGGTGGGGGGAAAGCTCGTGGAAGGGGGACATGCGACCTTCACTGATGTCTTTCAGGTGCGTGCGTGTGTCGTGTGCCATGCTCCATAGCCCATGATCTATGTGCCGTGATTGCCATGCACCATGCACCCTGCAAGTTGCATCCTGCAAGATGCACCCTGCACCATGCAAGATGCACCCTGCACCCTGCAAGATGCACCATGCACCATGCACCATGCTCCATGCACCATGCACCATGCACCATGCACCATGCACCATGCACCATGCACCATGCTCCATGCACCATGCACCGTGCTCCATGCACCATCCACCGTGCACCGCCAGACGCCTCCTCTGACCGCCAGACGCCTCCGCTGACCGCCACCATGCACCATGCTTGCTCCATGCCCCTGATTCCCCCACCTTCCCTGCTCCCCTCTCCCTTTCCCGCCATATCTCGGCAGGTGTTCTTCGCCATTGCCATGTCAGCAATGAGCGTGGCAAAGCAGTCCGCGCTGGCCCCCGACATGGCAACAGTGCGAACAGCAGTGAACTCCATCTTCCGCATTTTGGACCGGCAGTCGAAGATCGACCCGGAGGCGGGTGGGGAGGAGCCCGAGGAGGTGCGGGGCGAGGTGCAGCTGAAAGACGTGTGCTTCGCGTACCCGGCACGCCCCAGCGTTGTGGTGCTCCGGGACTTCAGCCTGATGGTTCCTGCCGGCCAGGTGTGTGTGTGGGGTGGGGGGGCAGGGGGGGGAGGTCTGGACAGGTGTGCGTGGGCACATGTGCAACCAGTGAGTGACCTCCATTGCGGTGCTTTCTGTGGAGGCCACCTGCTCATTCCATGGGAGAATGCACTTTCTGCAGGGGAAACGGGAGGGACCAAAGATTGTCAGGAGACCAGAGAGTGTCGCATGAGTGAGGTTCAGTGTCGTGATTGAGTGTGCTGCAGCATTACATGAAACGGTCAATAGCAAGCCACAGACTTTCCCTTGTATCTCGTACCCTTCGCTCCCTTGTCCTCTCCAAATTTCCCACTACTTGTCTGCTCTCTCCCTTGTTCCCTCACGCTCCCATGTACCCTGTTCCTTCCCCTCTGCATCTCTGGCAGACCGTAGCGCTGGTGGGGGAGAGCGGCAGTGGCAAGTCGACGGTGGTGGCGCTGGTGGAGCGCTTCTACGACCCGCAGAGTGGAGCCGTGCTGCTGGACGGCTGCAGCATCGCCGCGCTCAACCTGCGCTGGCTGCGCCGCCACATGGGGCTCGTGAGCCAGGAGCCCGCGCTCTTCAACGTCTCCATCCGCGACAACATCGCGTACGGCCGCCTGGGAGGCGACGGCGGGGGGGAGAGCAGCGAGGCGGAGATCGTAGCAGCGGCACGGGCGGCGAATGTGCATGGGTTCATCTCGGGGCTGCCGCAGGGGTACGACACGCTGGTGGGCGAGAGGGGCGTGCAGATCTCGGGAGGGCAGAAGCAGCGCATCGCCATCGCCCGAGCCATCATTGGGGACCCGCGCCTGCTGCTGCTGGATGAAGCCACGTCAGCACTGGATGCGGAGAGCGAGAAGGTGGTGCAGGAGGCCCTGGAGAAGGTGATGGTGGACCGCACCACCATAGTCATCGCCCATAGGCTGTCCACCATCAGGCATGCAGATATGATCGCAGTGCTTCAGAATGGTGCTGTTGTGGAGCAAGGCAAGCATGAGGATTTGTTGACGAAGGGTGGAGTTTATTCGTCCTTAGCTTGTCTGAAGTAGCTACTAATGGTAGGAACATTGCTTACATCCAATGTACATATGTGTATATCATGTTTAGGAGATGCTTTGCTTGATGAAGTTGTAAGTTTTGTTGATGGTTATTTGCTTGATGGAAACACTTTACTGTACTCTAATCTAGTTACTCAATTGTAGTCACTAGGATACAATAGTTTCACGAATCACGCCATTTTATTGGTCCCCCACAAATCTGTCTGACAGCCGTCATCCTTGTCAGCAATGTATCTTTTACAGTTAGCCTATCAGCGAATCAGCGACCGAAAGTTTTGGCGCGGAGATCAGACTTCTCATCGAAACCACGAAGTCTCCGCCCCACCTCTTTTGTCCAGACTCTCCGTCCCGTCAAATTTCACTGCCCCCGAACCAATCTTTCAGGCTCCAAACAAGGCGCCAAACCAAGCGCCAATGCCTCTTTGGTCAGCCAATCCCGAAGCTCCAAGGCCGCCCAGCAAATCCCGAGATTGCTGGTCTTGCCTTCTCCTATGTGAATTCCCCTCCCTCCCTTCCCTTGCCTCTTCCCCCTGCGTGATGAGCGTGGGGGGAATTTGCCACTAAGAATGGGCGTTCCTCCCCTTTTAGTGACCCCTCCCTTTTCGGCCCTGTCCTGAAGGCAGATGAAATCAGAATGAAACGGAATAGGAGGAAGGTAAGTGCGCAGGCTCGCAAAAGGCGGTAACCACCTGAGCAGCAACAGAACTGACGGTCCGGAGACGAAGCCAAGCGAAGACCGCACCAAAACTTCCACCAGCTCTAGCCAGACACTAGCCCAAAAGATCGGGATCTGCCCCATGTAGAGAGAAAAATAGGGGGGTAAAAAGCGACGAACTGTTGTGTCCCGGATAGCTAGGTTTGCGAGACAGTTGACGCCGAATTTTATGGCACTGCGTTTTAGCGTGTTTTGCCCGGCCCCCGGCAGTCCAGAGTCCGACACCGCTTCTCCAAAAGGATGGTGGGCAGATTGGGAGGAGATAGAATCGCTGTTTGCCAGGGGCGGAAGCCGTAACCAAGGCTTCGTGGGCCAGGCCAAATCTCTCTGGTCCGGAGCCGAACGGGTTCCTAACCAAAAATTGGCTTGTCGAAGCTTCTCTGCTCAACACTTCTGAGGTTGGAATCGAGAGCCTGCAGGGCAGGGCGAACACAAATCTCCATTCCCTCCCCACGATTTTGAAAAAAATGCCTTGGTTTGGTGGCGGCTCGTCCGACCGACCATCACCTTCGCGGGTTCCTGGGATTCTCCTCTGAACTGATTTTGGAGTGGAAAAGCAACTGGAGTTGTCGGTTTAGTCGGAGTATTTTTTACGAGAACGCACGCTTGCTCTTAGTTGTGGGCCGACGATGCACCAAAGGTGCTGTCGCTTGGATTAGTTCGCTGGCTAAGTCTGGAGCAGGCTCAAGACCCCTTAGATCGAGTCTCCAAGCAGTTAGCCTCTCGTGTCATCAGTAGTTGAGACTATTCTGGAGGCGATCATGGGTCTCTTGGTGCGCCAGCGAACTCTGTGTGCGGCCATCTCGGGCGCACTCCTGGTTGTTGCTGCTCTTCAAGCGTGCATATCTGGTCCGTTGATCCGACTTCCGTGCATCCGATCGTTGCGTCCTTGCTCCAACACATTTGATCCCTTGCTTTTTCCCCTGGTTCATAATTCCTGATCTCGGTTTCTCCGCTGGTTCTGGATCTGCCAGTTGCTTCCAGGTTTCGCGACAGAGATCACTAGAAATGACTAGGCTGGCTCCATTCCGTTTGCTTCCTTCTAGCATTACCCTTAAAAAACCGCTTGCTTCCCTTCAGCACTAGCACTGCGTTCCGCTTGCTTTCCTTCCGCTTGCTTGCCTCACCCACGTTCCGCACTCCTCTTGCTTTTCTTTCCCATGCCTACGTACCTGCCGTGCATCCCAACCAGGTGCATTCGGTCAGAGCCTTCAAGTCGGCGTACAGCCCGTGCAAGGGGCTGCTTCTGCCTTCCTCTCCACACGAGCCGCCAGGCTGCATCCACAAGCCACCAAGCCACCCACACAAGCCACCGCCAAATTACCCACGCCACCCCCCACGCCCAAATCCATCTTCGCTACCACTAAGGCTGCCACCGTTAAAAAGCCTCTGCCTTCCAAAACGCCAACTAAAACGCCATCTAAAACGCCTGCGAAGACACCACCACCAGCGGCGCCAAAGAAAACTCCCGCGACTCCCGCGAAGCCGCCTGTCAGACCACCGGCCAGACCGCCGCCGGTGTCTCCACCGAGAAAGTCTCCCCCCAAGCCGGTAGCTAAACCGCCGCCGGCTCCGCTCCGGCTGACGCCGATCGCGAGCGTGCAGCAGCCGCCATGGCCGTACTCTAGCATGAAGAACATCCCCCCTGACGTGCCGCCGCCGCCCTACCCTCCCGCCCCCCCTGCCCGTGAGTCTCGGCTCGGTTGCGTCCGCGTCTTTAGCAGTCACGGGATGGGTGGCTCTGGGATTGTTGGTGGAGGGAGAAACGGGCTTGGTACGGAAAGATATAGGTTTAGGAGTTATGGGGTTGGGAAGGAGGAGGTGTGTTCTTCCCCCGCACTCTCCTGCTCCCCACGAAATCTCCTCCCCGCTACTCGTTGAGTTACCTATCTCCTCCTTTTCTCGCTTTCCTTTCCCTCCTCCCATCGCCCTTCCTCTCGCCCAATTCTTTCTCCCGCCGTGCGCGCGCACCCATCCAGTGCGCGTGCCGAGCGTGGGCGTGATAACGAACATCATGGACGTGTGCCGCGTGTGCTCGTCGCTGCCGTACGACGGCGCGTGCTACGGCGACTACGTGTCCACGTGCGTGGCGGCCATGAACCAGCTGCGCCGCAACGTGTGGAAGGTGCCGGACCAGGTGTGCGACTGCTACAGCGCCATCGCCAGCCAGATGATCCGCATTTGCCCCGGGATCGACCGCCGCGTGGCGTACGTCCGAAACTGCGACTCCTACGTGAGTTGCCCCTTCCCCTCCCCCTCCCCCTCCCCCTCCCCCTCCCCCTCCCCCTTCCCCTTCCGCCCCGATGCCTTGTTCTTCCGATTCCCCCCCTGAGGCTTCCTTTTGTCCCCTTGATAGCCACGACAACCACCACCCACCCTCCCTTCCTTATCGCACCTCTCATCCAGCCCACTTTGCCTCAACCCACCCACCAGTACCGCTGCAATTGACTTCTCGTGCCTCCGCTGGCTGACTGTGCTTCCTCCATTGACCTTTCTTCCCCTCCTTGTCCCCCTGCCCCCCATATCCCGCCTCAGTGCTTTTACGGCGCGCGCTGCACGTTCGTGCCCACCCTGTACGCCTTGCTCACGCCCGAGCACGTGGTCACCACAGGCAACTCCACTGGTGCGTCCCCCTTCCCTTTCCTCTTTTGAGTCGACTCAAAAGCGTGCCCACCCTAAACGCCATGCTCACGCCCGAGCACGCGGTCACCACAGGCAACTCCACTGGTACGTCCCTCTCCCCTCGCCCCTCTCTCCCAGCTACCCCGCTACCCCACCACCCCGATCCCCTCCCCCTGCCCTCTCCTTCTCCACTGATCTGCACCACTCCCGACCGCGTCCACGCATTGTTGCTGTAGCCCCTATCAGCCTTATGCTTTGTACTCTTTTTAGAAATAGCCCCCAACTCCCTGCCCGCTCTTCCATCCCCCACCTCCTTATGGCCTCACCCGCTGCTCCATCCTTAATTACCGCCCATTCACCCCGGTCGCCTCTCTCCCTCCCCTCACCCATCGGCCTTCCCTCTCCATTCCCCACGCCCCCGACTTATTCTCGCCGTCTTGCCATTCTCCCTGCCTCTCCAGCCGCCCCCTCGGGGCGCGGAGTGGCGGTGCTGGACCTGCAGCCGAACATGACGGCCATGGCAGGTGTCAACTTCCTCGTGCAGCTCTCCTCCGCTCCCACTGCCACCTCCTCCTCCTCCTCGTCTTCCTCCTCTTCCGCCGCTGCCCCCGCCCCGCTCAGTATAACGGGAGTCGGGGTGTACAACGCGATAATGGGGTCGGAGGGCCCGCTGACGCTGCCGCTCTTGGCGGCACAGGCGGGGCAGGCGCTGGGGTCGGACGGGACGGGGCGGGTGGATACTGGGCTGGCGCTGCTGCAGCGGATGACGCTGGAGCCGTATAGCTTCTACATCCAGGTCGACACGCCTGGGGGGAGTCTGCGCGGGCAGCTGGTCTTCTCGCCGCACCTGTTTAGCATTGCCACGTCCAGGAACGTGCCCACGAGCTGTGCGAGCGGGGACTGCATGGCCATTGTGGACCTTGATATCTCGCCCACCAAGTACGTGGCATGCTCCTGCTCTTGCTCCCACTCCCACTCCCGCTCCTGCTCCCGCTCTCGCTCTCGCTCTCGCTCTCGCTCCCGCTCCCGCTCCCTTGCTGCCTCCTGCTCATGCTCGCCCGTGCTTGCCTGCTACATGCTTGTTGACTCATGGCCCTGTGCATTCTCCCCTAGCCACGTGGAAAACGTTTATCTTAACGTCCTGCGTCTCCATCCATGCGCTGCCATGCTCCGTTTCCCTACAGCACGTGCGGACCCATCCCCTCACGCCCATCCCCTCATTCTCATCCCCTCACTCCCATCCCCTCACTCCCATCCCCTCACTCCCATCCCCTCACTCCCATCCCCTCACTCCCATCCCCTCACTCCCATCCCCTCACTCACGTACCTGCTCTCCCTCTCTCTCGCCCCAACCAGCATCGTGTACTCGTTTGACTACTCGTCCGGCATGGCGGGGGGCATCATAGGCGCGTCTGTCATCCAGGGCGCAGCAGTGTTGTGTGACATTGCAACGAGGTGATTTTTGAGTCGACTCAAAAGTCCTCCCGTACCTGCTCTCCATATCCCCCTCCCCCCCCCTCCCCAGCATCGTGTACTCGTTTGCCTACTCATCCGGCGTGGCGGGCATCATAGGCGCGTCCGTCATCCAGGGCGCAGCCGGCTCGTCTGGCGCACGGCTGTTTGACTTCTTCTGGCCGGGCGCCAACGCGCCCTCCTTCACCAATGGCGTCACGCCACCTGTCACGGCGATCCAGTCGCTGCTGACTGCCCCGCAGTCGCACTACATCTACTTCACCACTCAGCTGATGCCATGTAAGTACGGCCGTGATGGTGGCTTTATGGCTTGTGCTTGTGACTATGTTGTGTTTGCTGGTGCTGTGTTGTTTCACCTGTCCAGACTTCTCTTCCCCTCTATTGTACAGCATCCAGTCGGCGCACTGTGATGGCAGTGATGTCCGGCGCCTGTGTCGTCAGCTTCCCCTCTCCCATTCCCTTTTCCCCTACCTGCCTTCTCCCCCGTTCCCCACACCCCCTCTCCCCCATTCTTAACCCAGTCGGCGCGCTGCGTGGTCAGTTCCAGGACACGCTATACGTGACGGCGGTGATGTACGGCGCGAGCGTGGTCAACTTCCCCGGCACGACCACGCAGGGGCAGGGGTCGGGGGCAGCGGGCATGGGGTTCTTTGACGCGGTGCTGGGCGGGGGCGGCATCTGCTACACGTTCCGCTTCTCCTCCTCTGTCAAGACCGCCTGCAACTACGCCTACCTGCACCAGGTGATATGCCCTCAGCTTCAGCCCCCCAACCAGTGCAGATAATCCCCCCCCCTTCCCCCCCCCCTCCTCCCCCTCTCCCCCCTCCTGCTCTCCCCGCCATGTTCTAAAGTTTCTCGCTTTTGACTTCATTAGAGCTCACGTATTAGTCCCCCCTTTCCTACTCCACCCGTCCTCAACCCGCATATTCTCCTAGTTCATTCCCCCGAGCGAGCTGCCACCCAACCCTCAACCCTCCACTGCCGTCGCTCCTCCCCATTGCCTCCCCTCCCTCCGCCCAGGGGCCATCTACCTTAAACCAGACGCTACACATAGTGCCGGCGCAGCAGCCGTGCATGCCGGCTGCTACCCACTCACCCCTTTCCCACCCACCCTGCCATACCCTCATTTTCTCGTCTTGCTATCCCCCCCGCAACCCCCCCCCCGCCCCCCGTTCCTTCCTACGCCACCCCCTCAGGGCGAGTTAAATAAGCGTGGGCCCATCTACCTGTACCAGACGCTGCGCATCGTCCCCGGGCAGCAGCTGTGCGTGCCGGCCGACCCTGACATCACAGCGGCCATGGCGCTGCGGCCCCAGCGCTTCTACGTACAGGCCTACTCCCTGCAGTTCCCGTATGGTGCCTTCAGGGGCCAGCTGCACCCTGATAAAGCCAGCAGCGGGCTTACCAGCAGCTGAGCTGGGGGGGTGGTTGTAAGGGCAGGAGGGGTTGCGGAGTGGAGAGGGATGAGGTGATGGGGGATGGAAGGACTGTACAACGAAGAAGGAAGAACAACGAACTTGCTGTAACAGGACGCACTTGTTGTCATCATATACTGGGTTCTGCTGCGTGTGCAACATCCCATTTTGCATGCCACGGATGTCGAAGATGAGATTCGGTTAGTGGACTGGGGTACCATATCAAGAACTCCAGGTCTCAGCTCACAAGCAGTACAGTACGAGTGATGGCGCAAGATGAACTATGCGAGACTCGTTTCGCAGGGTGTACCCCAACAGTGCAGCAGCTCACAAGCCGAGCAAGCAACGAACCACGGAATGAAGTCACTGTGGGTAGGACCATTTGCAGTGATTGTGCCACTGTCACAAACTAGTGTAGATAAATTGATCTGCAAGCACTGCAATTCTCTGATATTAAGGGCATTTGCGATAGGGTAGTCGCAATACCGCCTTCCCTCACAGACTAGCACCACATCTGATGAGCGAAGGGGGGCTGCACAATCGATGTCATTATACCATGGCGGGGTCAAGCAGTTCCTCTGGCAAGCTTGGTGAGGCTCTTGAGCACTCGCTGAGTCTCCCGGGGCAGCAGCGCACACCCACTCACACTCGCCTCAAACACCACCACCTTCGCATTACTCCCACCCTCACCTGCCCCTCCCGTGAGCCCCCTACCGCCCCCCCTGCTTCCAGACTCCCGTGCAAGCCCCCCATCCCCACTGCACACTCCACTTCCCGACCCCACGTCCCTCCACCTGCCTTCTTCGCCTCCTCTCCCTCCCATTCCTGCCCGGCCCGCTGCTGCAGATCTACACCCGCTGCTGCTGTTGCCTCTGGCGGCTGCTGCAAGGATGGCCTGGCGGATGGAGGCGTAGGGGAGAGTGAGGGTCTGCAGTGAGGAGCAGTTAGTGAGGAGAATGCGCCCCAGGCTGCACCCTGCTGCTGATGGTTGCAGCACTGCTGCCGTAGCAGTCACTCCACCAATGTCTGCGGCATCAGCAGCAGCAGCAGCAGCAGCAGCAGCCGCAGCAGTAGCCGTTTCGGCACCAACAGCGGGGTGTTCAAGCACACGCACCTCCCGGAGCCGACTGCACCCCCTGCAGTCCAGCAGCAGCAGCGAAGCTGCAGGCACCACCACAGAGCACAGCACGGGACACCCTTCCAGCATCACCCGCCTCACCCTCCCGTGCGTTACTGGCGGTAACCGCACGGACTCCAGTAACGCGCAGCCACCGCAGTTGACTTCTTCTAGGTCTTTAGCATGCGTGAGGAGGGTCATGAGAGTGGAGGCAGGGAGGGAGCGGCAGAGGAACGCGTTTATGGACTTTAAAGCCAGGCAGCGGTCAGCTGGGGAAAATGTTTCGAGGGAGGAGCACTGGGAGAGGATGAGGGAGGAGAGAGCCGGGCAGATGAGGGACAGGGAAGAAAGTTTGCGGCAGCCCGCGAGGTTGAGAGAGCAGAGAGAGCGCGAGTGGACGGTCAGCTTCTGAAGCACCGGGCAGCAGGAAAAAGAGATTTCTTCGAGCGGGCAGGTGCGCGGGAGGAGCAGGGTGAGGGACTCGAGTAGCGGCAAATGGGAAGCGGACAAGTGGCGGAGGGCGGTGAGAGAGTGGGGCAGGTTGAGGCCGGGCGAAGAGATGAGGCAGCAGCAGGAGATGTCGAGGGAAGCGAGGGAGGATGCAATGGGAGGGGAGCGCAGGAATGCCTGCAGGCCACGGTTGGTGATGAGAGGGCAGTCGGAGATATTCAGAGATGTGAGGCCCTGGGGGGAGCGACGGGGAGAGGGGCCAGGAAAGGAGAGTGGGTTGGAGCGAGAGGAGGTGGGGTTAATGCTGCAAGCAGAAAGAGCGGCGCCTAAGGCTGCTGATAAGTGCTGACTCGTAACTGTCTGCCGCCGCTGCTCCCTTTCTGTCGCCGCGGTTGCAGCAACACCTGCTGCTGCGGATGTATCCTCCCATGCTGCTGCTGCTGCTCCTGAGGAAGAGGAGGAAACAGCCGAGTGCTCGCCCATTTGTCCATCCTCCAATCGAGCTGTCACATACCCACCCTCGTGCACTTCCTCCTCGCCCTCCCCTCCCTCCTCTCTCCCCTCAACGCCCTTCCCCTTCCACCCCACACCCGCCTGCTCTCCACTCTTCCATCTCGCCTCATCTCCCCCCACCTCCACTCCCTCAACCTCCCTTCCAATGCCCTCCCGATGCTCCCTCACTCGCCCTGGTGCTTTATGACTATTCTCTTCCTCCCCTTCCACTGCCATTCCTTTTCCCTCCTCCTCCATCTCCCTCTCATGCCGCCCCAGCCACGTCAGCGCCACATCAGTCAACTGGCGGCACGACGACAAGTCCACGGACGCCAGCCGCCGGTGCAGCGCGCACAGACATGCCACGTCAGCATCGCTGAGGTGGACGCAGCCAGCCAACGAGATCGACTGCAGCGATCTCTGGGGCTGTGCAAACGGCCCTCCTAGCACCAATTTCTGCTGCCCACTCTGCTGCTGCCTCTGCCTCCCAACCCCTGACACCTCCCCTCCCTCCTCCCTCCCTTCCCCCACCCCCGCTGCAGCAGCAAATACCGCACCGAAGTCCACCTCACTCCGCCCCAGCCGCTGCAGACTAAGCGATTCGAGCCCCCCGTGCGCCTTCACAATCAGGGGCGCGGCCCAGGTGGGGAAGGCGCGCGGGAGCGTGAGGCGCTTGAGCGCAAGGCGGCGGGCGCGGATGAGGTGGCGCAGGTGGCGCGTGGCGCAGGCGAGGCGCGCGAGCGAGGGGAGGTCGAGCGCGGAGAGAATGAGATCCTGCAGGTCGCACGGCAGCGCCACCAGGAGAGGCGCGCCGCTGGGGGGGGATGCGCCGCTGGGGGAAGAGGCGCGCGGGGGGGAGGGCGGAGGGGGAACGGCGGAAGTGGATGGGAGGACGATGAGAGGAGGGGCAGCGGATGGGGGTATGGACGAGGGTGCGGTGGAGGGGAAGGCGAAGGAGGAGGAGGAGGAGGAGGAGGAGGAGGAGGAGGAGGAGGAGGAGGAGGAGGAGGAGGAGGAGGAGGAGGAGGAGGAGGAGGAGGAGGAGGAGGAGGAGGAGGAGGAGGAGGAGGAGGAGGAGGAGGAGGAGGAGGAGGAGGAGGAGGAGGAGGAGGAGGAGGACGGGGAGCGGGGAGAAGCGGAAGGGAGAGAGAAGGACGGGGGGTCAAGATTGGTGCTGCCACGCTGCTGCTCCGTGCAGTCACTTCGGATACTGTCACCGTTCTTACTGTCACCGTTCTTACTGTCACTGTTGTTACTGTCCGTGCGGTTCGCCAAGCGCAAAAGTGCTTCTATCGAGGCCTCCAGCGACCCCCGGCACTCGTGATAGTAAACATGGCTGATCTCAGCTTCTGATATCCCGCCACTGCCGCCGCCACGGCCGCCGCCACTGCCGCCGCCAATGCCGCCGCTACTGCCGCCGCCAAACATGTCTTTAAGGACACCCATCTCCGACTCATCCTGATCCTGACCCAGACCCTGGCGCGACCCAGGAGTCGCCATCCCTTCGTTATAAGCACCAGATCGGCTAGCACGTTTTTCTCCTCCCCCTGTTTCTGTATCCCCTCTTAGCATCACACATCCGCCTGCTCGGCGCGCTGCTCCGCCCCCGTTTCCCCCTCCGCCCCCGCCCTTGCGCCTGCCTGCGCGACCTCCGCCATCGCCTCCCCCGTTTCTTGCGGCATTCTCCGCACGCCTTTCCGCCCATCTAGCTCCGCCTGCGCCCCTCCCCGGCGCATTCACCACAAAATCGTCTTCTTCGCTCCCAAATCCTCCCCCTTCGCTCTCTTCCGCGCGCGCCGCAATCCCGCTCGCGGCAGCCGCGCCCGTGATGCGCCTCCAGTCCGACAGCCGGCTGCTGCGACTGGCGCCGCCATTGCTGCTCCGCATCGCGACGACCGGCAGAGCGCGAGTGAGGCGCTGCGCGGCGATTCCCTAAGCGGAAAACGGGCCGTGCAGGGTACAGCGACAGATCCGTGGGTTCAAGACAGGAATAAAATTGGCGGGAGCAGCTATACGCGAGAATGCGCGGGCCGCCGTGAATCAGGTGTCGGGGGGAACGATCAGCACGTGGTGAGCGGTGATGACTAGAGAAAGACCCTCAACGTACTACGTGGTGAGTGGAAAAGCCTACAGTATAGGCTTAAAGTGGGTTGTGGGGGGGGATTCGCTCGGTCTGCTCGGTCATGCACGGAATATGCTGTTTGCGCGAAAACCAGCGGGAGTTTCAGGATGACCCGATAAGGAGGTATTTCTATACAAAACTGGCTTTGTAAAAAACAATGTAAAAACATCAATAAAAAACAATGTAAAAGAACTTACACACCATCACATCACGATTTGTATCTCAAATATCATGTGTGCAATTAGGTACATTTTTCATACAGACCACGCAGTAAAATAAGTGACCTCTTGATCCATACATTTCCCCTTGTAAGATATACCACATTTAAATCCCGCGGCTAAAATAGCAGACCTGGAAACCACTTGAATTTGGTGCTTTGAAATCCGTCTAAGTACAGAATGGAATGCAGCTTTGAGTTCAAGCCTGAACAAGAAAAGTGCGTCGAAAAAAAATCTGGTCGAGCTTGCTGATTGGAGGAATGGCGAAAGAACTCGTTTTGCTGTTTGTTGCATCACGATCATTTGGATGCGAATTGCGCAAAAATACTGTGTGCATCGCACGGAGTTTCTACGACGGGTTTGGGCGAGCAGCTTGCGACGAGGAAATACAGGCGCTTTATGACTGGGGAATTCAAGTGATTTCCAGATCTGTAATTCCAGAATCAGCTACTGTTCGCCAAAAAACACTGTTCTTCTCGCATTTTCACTGTTCACGAAACCACGAATTCGGTCGCACGACGCGTATTGCACTGTTCACCGAATGGTTTCGTGCAAAAACTGTCGCCAAACCGCCACGGTCAGATTCCGCTTTACAAAACGAAATGTTTTTATTCTGTTTCGTTTACTGTAAAGATCAAGTCATGTGCCAAGTTCAAGAGCAAATTAAACAGCCCTCTTGATTGCTATTATAGCCACGAGCTTTAAAGAAACATACGCTAGTCACACACATACATATGGCTAACTCTTTCTACTGCCCTTCACGCTCTGTCGAGTATACTTCGACAGCACCATGATTTAAAATTTATATACTCACAGTCAACATCTGAGTGTTAAATTATATTTGTTATATAATTGTAGGCTTGGTAGGTGTTACTGAACTCTACTGTAGAGGGTACAACTCCCTCCTTGTATGCCTCTCTCTCTTCTATTCCAACACTCTTTCCTCTCGTCAACTTTCCTCTCCTAGCTCCTACCTCCTAAACCCTTTCGCCACTTCATGGCCGCCCTTCCTTCCGAGCTAAGTTAGCCTTCGTAACACTGAGGGCCCACCTTTACCATCATACAATCAAGGTCAGAACTTCAAAGAGACCCACCCATCCAACTTACACTAGCTGCGCAGCCCGCCCATCCCAACTTACACTCAAAGTCTGAAGGCCCACTCACTCATCCAAACTTCTCAAATTCCTAAGGCCCCGCCAACCCAACTTACAGTCAAAGTCTGGAAACCAACAAGTCGAAGTCTAAATGCCCACCCATCCCAACTTGCAGTGAGAGTCTGAAGACCCACCCATCCCAACTTGCAGTGAGAGTCTGAAGACCCACCCATCCAACCACCACCACCACCACCATTCCCATCCCATCCTGCCCTTCCTCACCTTCCTGTCAGCAGTAGGAGCAGCAGACAGCCCACTCCCATTTGGAAACAGCACCGCAAGTGGCTGTGCCTTGTGGCGTGAGGTGTGGCTGTGGAAAAGCGCTTCCAGCCCAAGACTCAAATCCCACCCCTGACGTGGCTAGAGCTGACGCGAACCAGAGCCTCCGGCCGGCCGACTCTGACGGTGTCCATTAAGCCTTAAACGTCAGATCGGTTACTTGAGCACCGACTGCCGTACCACACAGATTCCACCAACCACACCCCACCCACAGGCCATAACCGCCGAGGGTACTGCCCCGAAGGCAGTGAACTGAGTTCTTGCTCCCAAGCTCCCCACCCACCCTCCTCCCCTCCCCTCACCTCCATGCCCTCTCACATCCACCTACCACAGCCATGCAGAGTGCGCCATGATGATCGAGGCTGCGGGGGAGTGGGGAGGGATTGGGGTTAGGCGAGAGGGGAAATTGCACACTCCTGCCCTTGCTCCAGTGCTCCGATCCTCATGCTGAAAGAGGGGAAGGAGGGGGGGGGGGGGTGGGGGGGAGGAGAGGGAGGGGAAAGAGAGGGGGGGATCAGATCACCATACCTCACCTGTTACCATACCATACCTGTTACCAAACCTCGCTCACGACTAGCCCTAGCCCAGCCTGCCCTCTAACCCCTCACCCCCACAGCTGCGGCCGCTGCTTCTGGTGCTGAAACTGCTGCTGCTCAGCTGCCTCTGCCGCAGTCTTCAGTTGATGCCACGTGACCTGGTAGGGGGAAGAATGGGGGGGCAGACAGGACAGGAGGAGGGCAGGAGGAACTGGTGAGAATTGTGAAACTGCTGAAGTTGGCAAATGCAGATGTGAATCCATGTAGGAAGCAACAGACGTAGACTGAGATTTGGAAGAAGCAAGCATGGTAGAACCAAAGGGGAAACTTTAGAAGGAAATGACCTCCAGGGAGTGAAGTAGTTTATCTTGAAAGGCCACGCCCAGTGTCCGTACTCTCCCATGCCATGTGGCAGCGACTTCAATGTGTTGCGGTACTGCCTTCCTCCCATCCTGCATGGTACTTCACAGCCACAGGGGAGGGGTGTGTGTGGGAGGGCGGCGGCGTTGACCCCCACATCCCTCCCCTCCACCTGCAATGCACACACACAGCAGCAGTCAGTGCGCAGTAACGCAACTAAGGGCGAATGGCTAATGCAAAAAAAATGCAATACGAGAGAAGGGAGGGGCCACTGGTAGAGACAGAGCCACAAGCCACAGACCCCCAAGGGAACCTGAGGGGGCTGTAAGGCTGTAGGAAGGCTGAACCTGGGGGGGGAGTACCAGCATTAGGGGGTCTGTGGCTTGTGAGGTGGGCCCCAACCAACGGCATTTTTGAAGGAGAGAGAAGGCACTGAAGGCAAGCAGCTGAAACAAAGCAGAGGAAAGCACAGAGCAGGCAGCAACATGCAAGGCCAGGTCGAGGGAGGGGAGGTACTTAGCTGGGAAATCGAAGCACCGCTGAGAGTGGTGGTGCGCCATTCCCACCCCTCCCCTCCCCTCCGTTACCATCCCCTCTCCTCCCCTCCCCTGCTGCTCCCTGCACCCAGAAGCCGCCAGAGGTGCTGCAAGGGAGAGAAGGAGCAGAAGTGGATGAGAGGGGAGCAAATTGAGTGGAGACGGGTAGAGAACGGGAATCAACAGAAACTGCAGGAAAAGGTGAAGTGGTGAGAGCAGGGAAGAGCAGAGGATGTGCTTACCTCTGAAGGCCGAAGCCCCCCAGATAGCCCTTGCGGTTGCTGTGGACACTTCTCCCTTCACGCCTTGCTCCCAGCCCCACCGGCACCTGCCAGGCTGCAAGGGGAGGGGTGGGGCGGAGCGCCGGTGTTGACCCCCACGCCTCTCTTCTGCACCTGCAATGACGCAATGGGCTGAAGTGAGTGAATGTTGGAGAGGCGAGTGAGTGAGCTGCAGTCCCAGATGGCGACATGCAGGGAGAGCAGAGGGGAGGGCGCCACTGGTGCAGGCTCAGCTGCAAGCCACAGACCCAAGGGGGGGAGTTACCCGCTGTATACCTGGAGGCTGGAGGGAGGCTTGACCTGGGGAGGGAGTACCAGCAGTATACCATGGGGGGGTAATACCTGTAGGAAAAGGGTCTGTGGCTTGAAGCTGAGCTGCGAACAGTGGGGCTTCTTTCAAAGTCATAAAAGCAGGAAATAAGGCAAGGCGTAAACATGAGAATACCGCTCAGAAATCGCAGCAGAAGCTGAGGGAGAAAGAAGCCTACCTCTGAGTAGCAGCAAAGCAAGCAGCCCACATACTCTTCCTCTGGCTGAAGTGCTATCCCGTCCAATCCCCGCCCCTGCTGCTCGCTCGCTGCATCCAGAAGCCGCCAGACGTGCTGCAAGGAAGAGAAGGGGCATGCACGGAGGGGAAGAGAGCGGTGTGAGTGGAGAGGGGCCAGGCAAAAGAATAAGCAGAGACTGCTGCAGAAAGTGAAGGAGTGGGAGCAGTGAAGAGGAGGCGTGGGGTCTACCTTCCAAGGGCCGAATTCCCTCCCAATACTCTCCCTTGTGGTAGCCCTCCCTCAGCCCTTCTCACTGCCTTGCGCCCAGCCCCAGCAGCATCTGCATGGCCACAGGGGAGGGGCGTGAGGGA